CTAACTGTATTGCCACCGTCAGACACATGGTCGACTTTCGTGCATCGTTTCCAAAATAATGTTCATTAGCTTATGATGTCCTATGACTGTAATAACAAGTTTTTTTTTTCTTTTTTTTTTTTTTATTTTATTTTTTATTTTTTTTGTGTCATTGTAACATGTTAGAAGTGTAGTTTATATAATCTTTTTTTATGGTTTACCGACATACCTTGTAAGAATAATTTATTATATTTTCAATAAATGCCTGTGATATGTTCTCAAGTCTCGTATTCATTCACAGGAGTTATATCAGGAGCTCTTCTTTATATCCGGGATGAATTCGAGGAAGTCGATCAAAGTAGCTTTCTACAGGTACACAAAATTAAACAAATGCTGTACGGTTTAATTATAATGTTTTTAACTTCGATTTTTTTTTTATCAGGAAACAATAGTGAGCATGGCTTTGGTGGGTGCGATAATCGGAGCAGCATTAGGGGGTTGGATAAATGACAGCTTCGGGCGCAAGAAAGCCACTCTTTCTGCCGATGTTGTTTTCGTGCTCGGATCGATTGTTATGGCAGCCGCTCCGAATCCTTACGTTCTTATTTTCGGACGGCTGTTAGTTGGGTTAGGTGTCGGTGTGGCATCCGTCACTGCTCCTGTGTATATTGCCGAGGCTGCCCCTTCAGAAATTAGGGGTGGCCTAGTCAGCACTAATGTTCTTATGATTACTGGTGGTCAATTTGTTTCTTACCTCGTCAACCTTGCTTTTACTGAGGTCAGATTATTTCTCGTTTTTATTTATTTGTTTATATTTAGGGCGAATTACGGCCACCCCTGAGGTATGGCCAAATTACGAAACAACCCCTCTTGTTTGGGTAATTACAGCCACCCCTCATTTTAAATAATTTTACATAAAATTTAGGGTAAATTACACTCACACCCCTGCAACCCTGAGGTACCTTAAAATAACTGTAAGGTCCATGTCGTATCGGTAATTACAATTTTACCCTCTGAAACATTATTACAAACTCTAACGAGATAATGCATTAGATACGTTATTCCAATAGAGTTTTAACGGACTATTAGTTTTAGGAAGTCGTTGAGACAACATAGAGTTGGGGTGATTTAAGAAATATTGGGGGAGCCATCCCACCCCCTACCTCTAGCCTCTATGTTATTTCCACGACTTACTGAAGCTAATAGTTAGTTAGAATCCTACCGGAATAACGTATCCAATGCATTGTCCGTTAGAGTTTCTAACAATATTTCAGGGGTAATTGTAATTAGCGATACGACAGGGACCTTAAAGTTATTTTAGCATACCTCAGGGCCAGGGGTGTACGTGTAATTTACCCTAAAATTTATGTAATTCGGTTATTTATCGAACGAAATCGTATATTTTGTTCGGTAAATGGTATGAAATGTTGGCATACCGAAATTTCGGTGCGGTTTTACTGAATCAAATCCCTAAATTTACCTCTGGAGGGTCTTTTCGTAAGATAATAAATAGTTGAGGGGTGGCTGTAATTACCCAAACAGGAAGGGGGTTTTCGTAATTTGACCATAACACAGGGGTGGCCGTAATTTGCCCTTATTTTTATTATTGGTAGTTATTAAATGTTAATTTTGTTGTTTTATGGTTAAGTAGGTTCCGGGTACATGGCGTTGGATGCTTGGGGTATCCGGGGTGCCGGCTATAGTTCAATTTGTGCTTATGATATTTTTGCCCGAGTCTCCACGTTGGCTTTATATGAAGGTTCATATTCGTTTTGTTTTTTTCTAGTGGATTATTTTTTTTCTTATCAGATTGTTTATTTAATATCTCATTAAAAATTCTCACAGAATCGTAAATCAGAAGCCATTGTTGTGCTTTCAAAGATTTACGAGCCATGTCGGTTAGAAGAGGAGATTGATCAGCTTGCTACTGCCCTTGAGGAAGAGGCCCAAAGAAAGATTCGTATTAGTTTTTGGGATGTCTTTACGTCTAAAGAGCTCCGGCTTGCCTTTTTCGCTGGTGCTGGAATTCAGGTTAAATCAACACTCCATTTTATTTTAAATCCTTTCTAGGGGTGAAAGTCGAATGGATCAGTTCGGAATTAGCCTTTTCGGAAAATTTCCAGAAAAAATCAGAAGTACAAAATCAATTCCAATTCCAAAATTTTCGGAATCTAAAAATCAATTCCAATTCCAAAAGGTCCGGAAATTTCAGAATATTTTTTTGGAAATCACATAAGTTTGAAATTTTCAATACTTAGCGGAAATTTTCTGAAAATTTCATAATTTCCAAAAAAAGAACATCCACGTCGATAATTAATTGAAAATTGATTGATAAATATGGGGCTTTTTATTGAAAATTAGTTACATGGGTATTTTAGTGATTTTCGATGGTTTTTTTTTTTTTTTTTTTTTTGGTTACAATACATGCATATTTATCGAGTTTCTTAATTTGTGTGCAAAAAGCAAAAGTGACAACTAATATCGGAAGGAGGGAGCAACATTTAGGAGAATTTCGGGATTGAGAATGTTTACATGGCCTTTCACAATGAACCAATATTTGTTAAGAACTCCAATTGTAAATACCGAGTCAATCGATTTAATGTTTCATTTTCTGATTTTGGCAGGCGTTCCAACAATTCACAGGAATCAACACAGTGATGTACTACAGCCCGACCATAGTCCAAATGGCCGGATTTAATTCCAATAGATTAGCACTCCTCTTATCACTAATAGTCGCTTTCATGAATGCGCTCGGCACTATACTCGGAATATACCTCATCGATAATTTCGGTCGCAAAAAACTAGCGCTGAGTAGTTTATTCGGTGTCACTATTTCCCTAATAGTCCTCGCGGTCGCATTTATGCTGGACCCGTCGAATTCAACAAACGGGCTTTTATACGGTTGGATCGCAGTAATTGGTTTGGGTCTTTACATTTCCTTTTTTGCCCCCGGAATGGGGCCCGTTCCTTGGACGGTGAATTCGGAGATTTATCCGGAAGCTTATAGAGGAGTTTGTGGAGGGATGTCGGCTACTGTGAATTGGATATCGAATCTGATTGTGGCTCAGAGTTTTCTCTCATTGGCCGGGGCCGTGGGGACGGGCCCCACTTTCTTGATACTTGCTGCGGTGGCTGTTTTGGCTTTTATTTTCGTGGCGGTTTTTGTGCCCGAGACAAAAGGCTTGAGCTTTGAACAAGTGGAGAGGATTTGGAAGGTGAGGGCTTATGGAGATGACAGCGGCACAAGTGAACCGTTGCTCGTAAGTGCGTAGGACCGACATGGAACAATCGGTTCTTTGTGCATGGTGCAATGTTGTTGTTTTATGAACTATGGGATTCTTCCGTGTTAGTATACGAGTAAATCTCTACTTCTATATTGCTTGAATCGTTGTATATAGTGCGTGCCCGAATGAGATTGTTACGCTTGCACCAATAATTGGAAGAAGAAAATATATAGGTAAATTAGCAATGTTGTTCGACGTATCTCTTTCTTCTCTTCCTTCCCCATGCTTATTTCTTTTTTTCTTCATCTCATTTTCTCTTTGTTGGAATCATTAGTTTTATTCTACTATATGAATACCATATGTGATGATTATTCGTCGGAGACGAGGTTTTTGTTGTCGGGATTTCTTTTGGGAACATTATAATCTCGATCTTGAACTGGAAATAATATAATTAACTGATGAAGAAATTGTAACTGACTACCAATTTTTTTATAGTTGACATCGAAAATATTATAGTTGACTACCTATTTTTCATAGTTGACTTTGCGAACAATATAGTTGACTACCAAATTCACGGTTAATACTGAAAATGTGTGCATGTTGCTGTGATTTTGCTTCTCGGAGGTGTAATTGTAGATCCGGTGATCGGAATTCAACGATTCAAACACTATTGAATTCCTCTTGTCGAGATCTTTCTTTGGAAAGTGATCTTGGACGATTCTAATTCCTGGTTTTGGTTTTGTAAAAATCCTCTTGTGTACAAATTTCTCGTCCGTCTTTCGTCGTTGGTTTTCTCCTTCACTAGCGATGATAGGGCTTTTTTTGCAAGGGAAGCGAGGATTGAGGGCGACGATAGAACAAAACATCCCACATTATTTTTAATCGGTCAAACTCCTTCAAATTTCTCATACCTAAACTATCATCATATTTTCTATTTTGAGAACACTTCACTCCTTTGCTAGAAGAAACCAACCACCGTCTCTTCCGCCAACAGCCACAAACACTCTTCCAACTACGGGGTCTACGTCATTAACCCTTAAAAAGTCATTAACCCTTAAAAATTTCGAGAAAATATCTTATAAATAAACCCCCAACTCCTAATGAAAAATATTAAGTGTCTATTTTCTCTATATTAACGAATTGCCAAAATGTCTAGTAAATTATGGTAAATAGCACATTGCCCCGTATTGTATACTCCAACTTGTACGTTGCCACCTCAGTAAAGATCATAACATAATTATTGAGATGTGTAGCAACTAAGCATGTCCTATCAAACTTTCATGTGTGACCAGGACATAGAATCTATGCACACAACCTTTTGCTCAACTAGTTCACTGAACTCAGGCGTAAAACACATAACATATAGAACATGTCTTCCCAAAAAGTTCATAGCACTCATATTATCACATAAAATATGTTCAACATTAACCAATTAGCACAAGTTAGTAACACAAACCTTGAGAAAAGTTACTATAGAAAAGCAGTTACTGTCATTTTTCTTCAACCATCTTTGTCTTCTATCAAAGTGTCGCATCTTAGGGGCATGAACAAAGCAGCGGAAATTGGGTGAATGTGGTGACCGACTCCGGCAAACTTCTTTCTCAACCTTCCTTGCGTACATGGGTCTTAGATTCCCAAAATCAGATACTATGTATATCTAGTGACCAACTCTGATGTCAATTGTTAATTATATGCCTACAGAAATCTACTTATTCTATTGAGACTGATAATTGTTAGGACATTTGATGTTGCATCATAATTCTTGTGTGGATACATAATGAAACTACTAAAAGCAGAATAAAGAATAAGAATTTAATATGGTTTAGACACAAATGTACCCTACATCCAAGAGGACTTGCAAACAATATTTCATTATTTCAGAATTATGTGTACAATAATTGCACTTAATAAAAAAAACCAAACACTCCCTCTTTATGTTATACATCGTACTTGCCCACAACTCGAACTTGTTGTTCTCACAGCAGTTCCTCCATCTGCACTCTTGGACTCCCTCCAATGCTAAACCCCCTTCAGACAACAAATCAACCTTTCCCGAGATATCTCCCGAGATATTTTAAGCACTTCTCCCGAAAGGCCAATCTTCTTTATGACCTGGTAAAAGAAACATGTACTGTTGCAACACCTGACATGCAGAGGGTTGCAACACAAGTTGAACCCTTCAAAGCCTTCAGACAGCAAACTTTATTTATTAAAGCTTCAAGCTCTTTGCTGGGTTCTTCTGACTTATATAGGCACGAAAATAAGTCTCCTAAACCTAGCTTGAATCTCAAGAAATCAATCATAAGGAAATAGAATGTTTCAAGATTCTCTACAACCTAACATAGATTAGGATAAATCTTTTTATAATATTTCCTAATCTAAAACAAATAATAAGGAAATAAATAAAGCCCTACACAGTAAAATCTCGGGGAGATATGAACTAAATAATTTCCTTATTAAAAACATGGAATCTATATAATATATAAATTGAAACCCTCATAGCCTAGAATTTCGACATTTGTCATCCACGTAGGCGTCCATGTAGACATCCCAGTCATTGCCCATGTGTCATTACATATACCATAAATAACTTTACTTTCAAAATCGGATTTGATTGCAAGGATCGGAATCAATGCATATTATTTATGGTAACGATCTTAAATTATGGATATTCATTCGAAATTATGGAAGTTAGTTATGGAATTAATATTTTTAAATTAATACGGATTTAATTATATCATAATTAATTGTATATTATTCTAAATTTAATACCTAAATTACGGCATAAATTACGGTAAGGATTAATTTCACTAACGTGTATACTAAGAAATTAAGAAAATCTTATTATAATTAAGGACAATTATTAGTTATTACTTATTACCATTCTATTAATAGAGATATACTCAGTACGTCCATTGCGTAATAAACATATTTTTATATTTAATAAAGAAATATTATTAATATTTTATTTTATTCCAATTAGAAAATCTTATTTTTTATTAAAAGAAAAAACGTAAAATGTGTTTAATCTTTTTAAAAATTGCACAACGGAATTTATATGATATACATGGAATTAATTGTTAGATGTCATTTATATTAATTGTGTTGGAGCGACGGTAAACATATCAATTTATTTATTATGTTTGATGTAATTTGCCCTTTACATTTATTATAAGTTATAGTAATTTTCAAATGAATAGCTGCTCCGATGAAATACTTAAATAATGAGAGCAATCAAAGTTATCCAATTGACGAAATTGAGTTCACAATTTTTCATTAATTAAAAAAACACCCAAATTTCCATAATTAAACACCTCATTGTCAATTTATTAAAAAAACAAAAATTATGTATCGGTGATATTAATTTTGGTGCAAAAATTATGTATCGGTGATATTAATTTTGGGATGCATAATTGAGAGGTAAATATTATTTGAGAGTCAATTATGCAATTTTACATTAATTATTTAATTTGTTTCCTTTATTACATGATCAACCCGCCTATAAATATACCATTCAACACATTCACATTCATCATCTTTCTCACACGAATTTTGTTTTATTTTTTCCGATATAATGTAATTCGGTATACTATATATGTATATAGATAGTTTTACGTCAAAAGATGAACTTTATTATGATTTGTTTTTAAGATACAGTTCTCTTCATAATCGAAAGTTTATTGTAATGTTATTGTTTGCATAATTTGAATATGTACATATTTTTAATCAGTTATAATATACATGTACGATTCATATATGTGCAGATTTGTATCTATTTAATTCTTGGGGTTTTGTTGTAATTTTATCAAATTTACATTGCCAAATGTTTAATTCTTGGGGTTTTGTTGTAATATCTTTCGCGTTTTTTAAAATTACAAATCTTCTTGATCTACCAAATCCGCTTTTTTCAACTCGAATGAATTAATAATACATTTCAACTTTTCCATTTACCATTACAAAAAGTCATCTTTTTTACATATTATTTCCATAAATATCATTGTATATATTTAAAATCATGAAAACCAAGATAATTTACCGATTTATATACTGCAATAATTTGCATTCAATTATATATTTCAATTAATATTAATTACAATATAATTTCCTTATTTATCTTAACTAAAAAATATCTTCTCACACCAAATCCTAATCATAAACGCTATAAATATGCAATTGTTTCTAATCATTTTGTTCATATAGCAGGTATGTTAACACACATAAAAAAAATTATTTACTTCGATTTCATTTTGTTTTCTAGCCGTATATTTTTTTCATGAACGTTTAGTTCCTCTTGATAAATTATTGTTCGATGTTATTTTTCTAATATATTGTGGTTTGCTAAATATGTTATTCTTGATGTTCATTTTTCATTGTTAATTGTTATGCTTCTTTTCGTTTTTCTTTTGTTTTTCAGAATTTCGACAAGGTGTGTGTAATATGCGACAATAATAATAAGGAACTCCACAATGAGTTGTTTATCGAATAGCTCAACCATTTTCATTTGTTACTAATTAAATATTTTTCTCCTGTGTTTGATTTTGTTATATCTTCAAGAAATTCATTATTATTTGTTGTTATTTTTTTCAATGTATTGTTCTTTCCTAAATATGTTATTCTTGATGTTCATTTTTTATCGTTAATTGTTATTTTTTGTTAATTTAATTTTTTGTTTTTCAGAATCTCAACAAGGTGTGTGTAATATGCAACAACAATGAGTAAGAACTCGAAAAATTAGTTTTTTATCAACTAACTCAACTATTTTCGTTTTTTATTGTATTTCATTGAGTAAATATTTTTGCTCTTAGATTTCATATTGTTATATCTTCAAGATTTGATCTTCCTCTTAAATATATTTTGTCGTTGATTTAATATATAAGCATATATTTTGTGTGTAATCTTTGTTGTTGCAGTTGGTTTGGTATTTTGATAATTTGTATTATAGCTTGAACGATTTTCGTAAACTCTTCTTACTTACGTGCATTGTTACTTTCCCGATTTCAATTTTGAATATGCTTTCAATACAAGTGAATTTACGAATTGCAATTTCACTATGCTTTCAGTTTGCACATTGCAATTTTATGCTCATTTTCAAAATTTCATACATCAAAAAGAAAAAAAGAAAAAAAAAAGCAAAACAAAACAAAACAAAAAGAATGCTTTATAAATTTATTTATCAAGTATATATAGTATAACCATTGTTATGCAATATAACTATTTAATAAACATACATGTATATAGAATCGGTGAAAAAATATTTTTTCGTACATACATGATTTTTTTATATTAAAGTATAATCGGTGAAAAATATTTCTTCGTACATCTCAGCATCCCACAAACTCTATGTACGTAATACATAATTTTTCGATGTAATAACAAAAAGTGTACATCCGTATTTAATTCCGTCAAAATGTTTTGTTGTTTAAAATTCAATATTTGATTATGTATTAGTATTGTTATTAGTATTAATATTCAGATTACCGTTAATATCTATTAATTAGGATTAGGATTATAATTATAATTAGGATTGTGATTATGATTATAATTAGGATTGCAAGTATGATTAGTATTAGTATTATGATTAAGATTGAGATTGGTATTGGTATTGGTATTGGTATTGGTATTGGTATTGGTATTGGTATTGGTATTGGTATTGGTATTGGTATTGATATTGGTATTGACATTGATATTTATATTGATATTGATATTGATATTAATAATAGCATTAATATTAGTATTAGTATGAGTATTAGTATAATATCGAATATGTGTATAAATATTAGTATTGGGATTAATATTAATTAAGATTAGGATCAAAATTTAAAAAAAATATCATGATTAAGATTGAGATTGGGATTAAGTTTATGAATAGTATTAATATTATCATTATCAGGATTAGTATCAGGATCAGGATTAGAGTCAACATTACGATTCGAACTAATATTAATATTAGAAATAATATTATTAATGGTATGAGCGATAGTAATAGTAATAGTGATAGTATTTGGATTAGTATCAATATTAGTATTAATATTAGTATTAGTATTTAATACAGTATTAGTATTACTCTTAGTATTAATATTAATATTAGATTGGTATATGTATATGTATATGAATTAGTATTAGTATTAGTATTAGTATTAGTATTAGTATTAGTATTAGTATTAGTATTAGTATTAGTATTAGTATTAGTATTAGTATTAGTATTAGTATTAGTATTATTATTAGTATTATTATTAGTATTAGTATTAATATTAGTATTAGTATTAGTATTAGTATTAGTATTAGTATTAGTATTAGTATTAGTATTAGTA